AGAAGAAAGAGAAAATGGATAGAAGAATGAGAGAAACAAATTGTTAGAAGGCCCTTTTAAGGAGTTCAAAGCATGATATTAATAAATTGATGATGCCATTTTAAGAGCATGATTTCTTTGCTACCTTTCATAAGTTAGTCCTTCTATTTTTTTGTAAGACTTGGAGCTTCTTTTCTCCTGGTTAAGGGAGAGTGTACATAGTTTTTTAGAAGAATTTTTAGTGCTATTATATTATATAATATATATGTGATTTTATTATCATCACATAAATTTTCCTATTTAAGTTTTAGGCTAATATTTTTTTTCTTATAATTACTTTGTGGTTCACCATATTTATTTTTGGGTTAAATCTTTCATAACATAAATTGAAGCATACTATTTTTCTAAATATTTGTATTAGAATGGAGGTTCTTAAGGAGCATAATAGGCATGAACTTTGGTATCAAAGTATTCGATAACCAAAGAGATTTGAGGCTTGAATGACGACTTTGCACAATGTTCTATTCTAATATAGATTTATAAGTGCGCTCATAAGACATACACAAATGCTTGAACCCGGGACTAAGCAAAACAAGTTAGAGATTGATGAGAATGTTTTGTCAATATTTTAATTATATTCAACATACAAAAATGCTTGGTAGAATTCTAAAAAAAATAATTTTAGAAGGCTTGTTAATTAACTAGTAGTATTTATATATAATTTAAAGCCTCTCTATAAGCTTTACCTAAAAGTAGAGATAATACTTAATTTTAATTTAGGAGTGCATGCTCATTAAAATATATTTAAATGAATTTCATTTTGTCATTCAAAATTTTGAGAAATGTTATTATAATTATTGATGATTAAGATGATGTATTGCTTCTATTTGTTTTTTATATCCTCCTACAAATATTTTTTGGACACCATATTATATGGGCTTGATATAATAAACTTCTAACATGACAATAATTTATTATTTTCAAAAGAGATTATTACTAAGCTTGATAGAATGAAAAATCATTTGAAGGTTTATTATAGATCATTAAGAGATCTTATGATTACAAGTACTATTCTAATAATGGCAAGAGCAAGTCTTATAAAATTTTTAAGGCTATTAATTATTTTTATTGTAGGAAGAAAAGTTAAATAATCAGATTTTTATATAGCTTAAAGTAGAAAGTGTAGTAGGTAAGACCAAAAACATAAAAAAAGAGCAGAACAAATAAAAGTGTAGTTACAAATTGATATGATTCTGATATTGTCGAATATCTTTTGGAGAGTAATACAGATAAGTGTAAAGAGCAATGAATTTTGACCTCAACTTATTCAAATTACATGCGCTTTCAATTGGAGAAAATTTTCAGGCAGAGACAAAAGTTTATAGTTACATTACCTAATAAACAGAGTTGTGTGTAAGATTGAAAGTTTTGTCTCAACTTATTCAAATTACATGCGCTTTCAATTAGAGAAAATTTTCAGATAGAGACAAAAGTTTATAGTTACATTACTTAATAAACAGAGTTGTGTGTAAGATTGAAAGTTTTGAAATTGTGAAGTTAAGTCCATATTAAAAAAAAAACCCAATAGCTTCAAGTGCTCTCAATGTTACAATATTTTGGTTCTATTGTGATGCTATTGCTCTTTAGATTATGTAAGGGTTTTTTTTTTTGGTAAGACACACACACACACACACACACACACAGAGAGAGAGAGAGAGAGAGAGAGAGAGAGAGAGAGAGAGATTTAATGGATTATATATGTTATGGAGTACAAATTTAGACGAAAATGTGTAACAACTTTCTATTCTTTTATATACTTCTTTATAATCCTACTAAATGTATATCACTCTATCATGCAGTTATAAGAGATTGGCTAACTTCCCTACATTTTTGACCTCTTATGCCGTGTAAAATTTTGAGGTCTGAATATCTGATTCCACACTTCCTCATTTTGTACCTTATTCCAACCTCTTATGTATGAATGAAAATGTTTATAATAGGCCTTAATGGATTGTGCTTCTACTCTCTCATTTTCTTTCTAATAAAAATAGTACAAACTTTTCTCCTTTGTAACTCTAATTATGAGAAGTTGATCATGAGTATCTATAATAGATTTATAGAATTCCTCCTTTTTAGCTCTACTCACCAATACATGACAAGAAAATCAATACATTGTTCCAAGCAATTTTTAATAATAATAATCAAACATATTAGTACAAAAACTTTGCTTAATTTAAAATAATAAATTATATTTACATCCATATTCATCAGAAAGAATAGGAAATCTTTGCATGTGAACACTTTGTTTGTCCTTTAACTCAAAATCTTCAGTATTATATTACCAAAAAGAAACTTAGTACATATTTTTCCCTCGTAGGGAATGATTGTATAAGCTCAATATTATAATGATATAATATATACAATTATAGTATACCGAGGTGGAGCATTCTTTTTAAGGCAATTACTTCATAATATATAATATCAATCTTTAGCCCTCTCAATGCGCTCTTTCAAGATATTCCACCCTATATATATTCATAAAATACATCCTATTATTTAAGTAATTAAAACAACTCAATAAGAATGTGTTATGTTTATTATGATAGATAGATATAAAATTTATTAAAAAATATATATAAATCAAGTTTTCAAATATTTTTCGTCTCTGTGCACTTTTAGATTACTCTCTTTAAGTCATAAATCTTCTTAGTATCAGTCATATGCATCTTGATTTGGTTGTGGAAAGAAAAGACATCGAGGAAGCTCACTACAGAATAGCCGATCGTCACATACATAAGCGAGTTGATCTATGGCAGAAGGTAGTTGTCTAATAAATTATTTTTCATGGATTTTGCTGCTTGTCACTATACTGGTGTTACTACTTGAACTTTGCCTCTTGTTGGGATTTGGTTTTGAGCTTTGATGAATGCCAATTTTTTTCAAAAAATCCAACTACTTTCTGAATATATTTTATATATTTTGAAATTTGGAAGGAATTTTAAATCTTATTAACATGTAAGTTCTGAGTTCTTTGTGCTATTTTTTATTTCGTGTGTTTTTTTTTCGATATCTTGTTTGTATGAGTGTTTTATTCTGATTTTCTTGCAAGGATTTTGCTGTTTCTTTGGTTGGCTGCTCTTTTCTTTGTCTTTTTACAAGTTTTTCTTCTTTCCTGTCCCTTTTCGGTAAAGTTTGTCGTTGTTATCAAGTTTTTGTGGCTGTTTTTCTGTGAATTGATCTATGGCTACTTGCATTTGATGATCCTCCATCTTCTACAACTTTATCTTTGGCATAGAGATCTATTTTCGATGGTGTTTGTGATGTAGTTGTTAAAGTTGTAGATGTTCTTGTTGCACACTATTTATTTTAAGTGTAATTTCTATCTTTGTTGGTGATATTTCTTTTACTAAATTATATATATATATATATATATTTGTGGTGGTAATTGTTTCTCATTGTACCGGTCAACTTTTTCAAAAAATAAAAGCATATAAATAAAATAAATAAATATTAAAAATATAAATACATAATAATTAACAGAAATGTATGTAAATATTCGATTTTAAAATTAAGATCATAATAAAATTCAGCAAAACGAACGAATTTTAATAATAATTTGGTTTTCCCAAATCTTAACCACCATAGTCGGAAGAAACCGCCACCACTACGCCACGAACCGAGAAATAGGCGGTGAAATGAACATTGCACAAAACCACATATTGAAATTCAAAATTACGCAACACTACCACAGGGGGCCTTCTCGCAATTATCTATTTGTGACATCTATAAATAGCCCGCACAACCACATTCTACCGACTCCTAGAACTGGGTCTGTTTCTGTAATTCTCTCGAGCAGTCGCGCTCAAGGTTGAAGCCATTGATTTGTATTTTTCTTTATAAATCGAAGAAGAAAACTATTACAGATCTCATCCATTAATGATTTTTGGCTGTTTTTTGTTTATCAGAACGGTTCTCCCTCCGATCTCTTGGTTCGATCACGATCATAGAAACTAGTTAGGGTTTGGGTCGGGATTGGACCACTAGTTTCGCGTGAGGGCTACGATTAGGATTTGGGATAATTTTCTGGATCTATCTCATTTCGCAGCGCAAATCGTGGGGTTGCTCAATCTAGGGTTTCTGTATTTTCTGATTTTGGTCGGGTTTCTTTGTTAGCAATCATGAACGATCAGTCCCAGCGGATGAACCTCTCGTACGCGATGTGGCGAGCGCAGGCCCAGGCACCGGTACCCCTGGTGCTAGCCCCGGTGGTGGAGGAGCCGATGGGGTTTCAAAAACCTCGACGGGTGTTTGGCCCGACGGGAGCCAAACCGAGAAGGATGAACTGGAACAAACGGAAAAAACCTAAGGCCGGGACTGCCGCTGTTATGGGAGCTTCGTTGGTAGATCCCTGCGTTGTGTCAACCGCCGGCGTTTCTGGTTACAACCCGCCGAATCTCAAAGAGTTACAGTACCAAAATCGTGTAAAAGCTAGGCGTTTCTATCCGAAGAAGAAATTTAGTCGTTTCGTCCCCTTCGCCCCTCGAAACACCACATCGTTCATAATCCGCGCTAAGCAATCTGGCGGTATTGCTTCTATCGTTTCGCCTTATGCTGTAACGCCTGCAATCCTTCCCACGCCGAAATTCTCTCCCTCAGGGGAAAGACTGGTCGACATGGCCAAGGAAGAGTGGGGAGTGGATGGGTATGGCACTATGAAAGGCTTGATTCGCCTCCGCTCTCCAACTTCTGGTGTTGGTAATGTCGGCATCGTCGGAGCTGAAGAGGACGAAGAAGATGATGACGGACCAGGCGATAGCGATGTGGAAGAGCACGTGGAGGTAGAGAGAAGGCTGGACCATGACTTGAGCCGATTCGAGATAGTGTATCCGAGCCATGGAGAGGATCACGGAGTGGCCACCACCACCACAACTTACCTTCTGGAAAACAGAGTGGAATATCAGGATATCCATATAGCTCAACTGGAAGAAGAGAATCTAACTCTCAAAGAAAGGCTTTCCTTAATGGAGCGAAATATGGAAGAGCTGAAAGTGAAACTTCAGATGCTGGAGTCTGACTTCAGGCCACGCAATGAAAACGATAATCACGACAGCAATGCTCATCATGCCGAGGGGATGAATTTGAACATAAGTGAGGAGAATTCGGAGAACGACGGCGGCCATTATTCTTGCTCGGAGAAAAGCGCGGGAAATTACGAGGAGAGCAGCGGCGATCGAATTCAGCGTCGAAGGTAGCTAACTGAACACGCCGTTCTTCTTCTACGAAGAATACTTTTTTCTACTTCTCGTTCTTTTGTGATTAGCGAAGGTAGCTAACTGAACACGCCGTTCTTCTCTACATCTTTTTTCGCGTTTGACTCATTTGAAATACTTTTTTCTACTTCTCGTTCTTTTGTGATTAGTCTTAGAATTGTAGCCTGCAGCAGTGTTTTCTGATTGTAAATAGTTGTTAGCATCCAGAATAGTCTTAGCATCTTCTTTTCTTCATCGAAATTCGGTTTCTGCTCCCACAAAGTTCTTAAATTCTCATTAATGGAGTTCTCGAAATCTACAGTTATGGCTGTGGCATTCCGGTTCTTGTGGGATTATACGGAATCTGTCATCTATTAGGTTTTTTTTTTTCCTGAACAGTAATGGCGACCTTGAATGCTATTTTTATTGGTTTTTTTCTTTTTTTGTTCTTCAGCGTATAATTTTCCTGCGATAAATTTAATGAATGTTGGTTAATTGTAATTCATGATTTGATGTGGCATCGCATTGTAGTGCGTTTTTTTGAAAGAATCTTATAGAGTCCGAGACCGTTTCAGGTAGGGCTGTCAAGATAGCTCGTTGTTCGCAAATAGATTGTGTTTGGTTCGTTCGCCAAATTAATAAGTCGAACACGAATAAATATTTGTTCGTTCATGTTCGGCTTATTTTGACTCGAAATACTACTAATCAATTATATATATATATATCTTTCATTAGTAGTATTTTTAAAAAATTTAATTGACTACAAGGTTAATGAAGAAAATTGAATAAAAAATATTAAATTAGATTCAAATGATATTTTAAATCTTGCCCCAATTCTTAACATCTTATGACTATGTGATTAGGGTTGTCAAAATGACTCTTTGTTTGTGAATGGCTCGTGATCGGATCACTAAGCAAAGAGCCGAACACAGACACACTTTTTGAGCTTGAAATATAAACGAGTCAAACACGAGCTGAGTCTGGGCTCGTTCATGTTCGGCTTGTTTACACCCCTACTTGTAGGAACTTGTTTTGGTGAAACTATTATGTTGTGTGTTGTTATTAGGACAACTAACTGTCAACAACTCGACATAGTCGGGCGCGACCTCGGCATAGCAATAGACATTGCCAAGAGGCAGTTGAGCGTCACCTCAGCATGTATGCTAGATTAGTTGGTAGTTCATATTTGCGGATGATAGACACAATATTTGCTCGTGATCTACAGTGCGCGGCCGTATCTAGAGGAGGGATGACTTCTTGTAGAATTTTTTTTTCTTGTTTTAAGCTTTTTTATGGGAAGAACTATAACTTGGCTTGTTTAATACTCAATTTCATTTAGCAAATAAACAAATTTGAATATTATTTTAAAATTTAAAATTCAAATGAATTAAATTTTAAAATAACTTTAATAATAATGTATCATAATTTAATAAAAATATGAATATAATTTTAATACAATTATTTTATCATTGTTTTATTTTAATAAACTAACTTGTTAGTATTTCAACAAGAAAATTTAATTACAACTTATATATTAATGGAACATTTGCATATATATTACATAACTCTCATGCATTTAATTATCTAACACCTAAATATCAATATTTTCATCCATTCCACCCAAATATTTAATGTCTCGCATTAAAAACATCATCATTATCATCTTTTTAATAGTGAAATAGTGAAATAAATATGTTCATACTGTAGATTTATGACACCAAAATATTATGAATGTAAATATTAAACTTTGGGCATTACATATGTACATACATAAGTACTGTAATATGAATGTAAATTTTTCTATATTTTATTTATTTATTTAATATATCTATCTCAATATTAATTTAAATTTTGTTTAATTGCCCATTCATTTAAATTTGTAAGGTCATGACTCAATAATTATATACATAAAATCAAGAATTCACTTGGTTTTTAGCTTGTACTAGTTTTATACGAGAGATTATGTGCAATCCTAATTTTTAATTTTATACGAATATTTAAATACTCATTTAAATTTTTAATTACTTCAATTAATATAATTAAGCACAATTAAAGTATCATCATTAAGAAAAATTAAACAAATACAAATATAAATATAAATGCAATATGAAAATTGATTGATTTATTTATTTATAGTTAAAATATATGATCAAAAGATATATTATAAAATCAAGATTTAGATAAATAAATATAAAAGGAAATTATTGTTTCAGATATGAATAAGTAAAGATTTGGTGATATGCATTTAAAAAAAAAAGACCTTAAGATTACATGCTTCTTCAAAGGCAACAAACATATGGAGGAAGTCAATTTCAATCCGAGCCGGTATGAGGATAAGGTTTGCGTGGTTCTTTTTGGTTTTTGTTTTGTATATATATATTTGAATAAATTTACACATTTGCCACACAGCTTTTCTATATTTACATATATGACATGGAACATTTATTATTTACATTTATCATACTTTAATGTTATTATTTCTTTTTTTTTAATTAATAATAATCATATTTTCAATTTAATATTAAAAATGTGCTTGTTATTATGCGTTAAATCAGAATTGAACCGGATACCTGAGGAATTGATATTTTTGACATTGATAAGATGACGAAAAATATGATATTTTTATTAAAATGGAGAAAATGTTTTTTCTTTAATTTTTATTTATGTTGGATATTGTCCAAAATTTTCGAAGTGCTGTCTTAAATCAAAATATCATTATTCTATTATTTAAATTAAATTAAAATAACTTAATAAATCTTCTTATTAATTTTCAAGTTTAAATGAAATTCATCAGAGCATTTTATTATTATCATCATCATTATTACTCAATTTTAATTTGTAAAAAAAAATTACAATTGAGTTGTCTTTCATTGAAGTTTATGTCTAAGACGTCATTTTGTCTTAGAATTTATAGAATTGTCAAAATAATTTTTTTATTATTTTAAAATTGAGCTCTAGTTAGGGGTGTAAACGAGCCGAACACGAGCCAGCCATGCTCATCTCGTGTTGGGCTCGTTTATATTTCGAGCTCAAAAAGTGTGTTCGTGTTCGGCTCGTT